AATGTAGCATACCAAAATTCTGATAATGCTGTTTCCTAAGAGAAGCTGGAAGTAGGAAAAGAAACATGCAAACAGGCAAGAGAAAAGAATAAAAAGGAAGGAAGAAGAATGAGAAAAGCAGCGAAAACGAGAGCGAGAGAAGAAACTGCGAGGCATAAAACTCTTCTTCGTTCAAATTACAAAATTTCCTATGCTGAAGCGGCAGCTTCTTTCGTCAATTCTACTTACTTCCTTTCTCATCTAAGCTGCAGGAACTCAAAAAAACCTGACAAGGCAATGATAGTAAAATAACAAAATTATATGTAATAATAAAGGTAAATAGGTAAAACAAAATTGTAACTTTCGCAAATCAATGTGAAGCTATTGCCCGGTCCCGGGGCAGTTTCTGCGCCTTCTAACTGTACTCCTGGGGCTAGGCAGGAAAACGCTGTTTAAAGCAACCGCCACAGGTATCCCTTCCCAAAGAACAGGGCTGGCTCCTCTTCCCGGAGCCGGGCATTTCACACCTCTCTTTATCTTCTCCCGCCAGGCCTCGCCCCACCCCACATCCCACCAGTGTAGGGGCGTAGTGATCTCACCTCTCCTCCACAGTTGTTCCTGTCTCCCCCTTCCATATCATTACACGCAGCCCTGTGTTGGCCAAAAGAGAAAATGAAACCCTACCCTCAGCCTGCACTCCTTCCTGCACCACTGAGCTCATCAGGGAGCCCTACCCTGTGGCAGGCAGGTCTGATTAAGTGAGGACAAAGTCAGACTGTACATGATGATATGGCCTCAGCGACAGCTTGGTCACTTCCTCTCACTGCTTTACACCTGGCATCAGCCGGCAGAAACCACTTGGTCCAGCCAGATCAAACTGTGTTTGCGTTAGCTGGGACACACCTCTTCCCTGTCATGACCCTAGGCGGTGGTCACTCCCCACACTTCCAGTTCACCCGGCCAGTCAGCCCCTGACTCCCCACCTCCCGAAAGCCTTCTTGGTTCCCCATGGGGCAGTCTCCTCTGGTGTCCTAAGGCCTCCCGACTTCCCGGCCCGGCCCATTACTCCTGAGTTATCACTACTTGGGAGGAGGGGTTCTGTTTCACCACACCACTGGACGTGGCCATTGGGAGGGAATGGGGGGCTGCTGACTGTGCTCAGCCTGGGTCCCAATGTGCCAAGCAGAGAAGCTGCATGGCTGGGCCTTGGGGAGGGGGAGGCGGAGGGAGGCATGTTGAGCGAATGAATACAGGGTGCTTACTTACCCCCAGAATGAATGAAGCTGCAACGTGAGTTGATCAGTCCCATCATCTCATTAGGCCCCTCCAGCAGCACATACACTTCTGTTTTTCTGTCGATACTGGAGTGAAAGGGAAAATTACTCATTAAGTTCTAAACATCAATGTCTCACTATCACTGTGTGGCAAAGAAGAGAGAGACAAGCTGGCAATGAAGAGATGAGGCAGAAGCAAGAAAGAAAGAAAGAGAAGAATCTGAAAAAAACTGGGGGGGGGTGGGCTGTGGGGAGGCCCGGGGGAGGGGGCTGAAAGAGCGCACAAGAGTGGGCGGAGGTTTGGATTTTTGGGAATGCGTGATCCGTAAGACTCTGGTGAAGGCCCATCTGTCTCATTCCTGCCTGCTTTTTTCCAGAGCCTAACCTTCCTGGGGAGGTACTGATGAATATTCGGAG